TTCCTGCTGGTTGGGAAGGAGACGTACCACTTAGATGTTGATTATGAAGGAGAGACCTGAAACCTGGGAAGAAAACTTAGATTTCAGCCTGAACCACCAAAGAAATTTCATCTTTACTTCCATTTACCTCTTCTTTCTTCACTGTCATGTTTCTTTCTCATTTCAGTGGGGGAAAGCTTTCTTCACCGATGACCACCATTTTACCTGTATTTTGCATCTAATTTCTTTCTAGCTCATCTTTTGCATTTGGCTTTTATGTATGTATTTCTTCATTGCCTTCTTTTCATGGAGTTTACGTTGTAGTAGGGTAATCATACAATAAACAAATGGATTACTAAGTATCATGAAGTGATTAAGTATTATAAAGAAAAGTGAGTAGGATAAGAATATGGAGAATTATGATGGGTTAATGGGGTAATTTTAGATAGGGTGGTCAGGGAAGAGGAACCAGTTAGCAGAGGCTCTTCAACTTGTCAAAGATGGAATCATTTGAGCATCTGTATACATAACTGCAGTGTATTGCAACCACATAAAATACCACATGCTTAATTCCATAAATTCTTAATGATACTAATAGCAGATTGTTCACCATTGGAAACTACTAGAGAACTAACTTATTTGGAAAGCATAAATTTAAAGGAAAAAAGAAGCGTTTATCCTGCCTTCCTTGTAAGATCTGTACCAATAGGTAATAGATGGAGGGATGTTTTTCTTAATAAAAGTATTCAGTGAATAAATGAAGAATGATAGAATATTATCACTTTGGAACCCATAGTGAGCTATTGGATCTAGGCACTGAACATCAATGCTGATAGCATCACAGAAATAGAGACAATGAATGAAGGGGTGAATGAAAGGATACAATATGACCTATGAAGTGGGCCTAAGTCTAATGGAGCTTCTAAAGCCACCAATTTATTGGAGGAAGATAGAGGAGCATGTTCCATTACACCTTGGGAATATAGTCAGCAAAATTCAGAATATGAGAAATGCTATAGGGTCAAAAACAGTTCTTCAACAAATAAATTGTAAGGGAAATCAAAAGATAGTAGGACAGGGACTTCCCTGGCAGCGCAGTGGTTAAGAATCTGCCTGCCAATGCGGGGGACATGGGTTTGATCCCTGGTCCGGGAAGATCCCACATGCCACGGAGCAACTAAGCCCATGTGCCACAATTACTGAGCCTGCACGCCTACAGCCCATGCTCCGTGGCAAGAGAAGCCACTGAAATGAGAAGCCCGTGCACCACAATGAAGAGTAGCACCTGCTTGCGTGCAGCAACGAAGACCCAATGCAACCGTAAATAAATAAATAAATATTTTTAAAAGATAGTAGGACAGTCTGTAGGTTTTAGACATGTAGAAGACATGTCAACCATTGAACATTATGGACTTTGGATCAGTTATTATTTTTAAATTGTTTAAAATTATATGTATGAGATAACTGGAAGTGTGAACACTGATTTTTGATGTTCTTAAAGAATTACTCTTCATTTTTTCAGGTTTGGATAATGGTATTATGATTATTTTTTAAAATCCTTTTAGAGGTACATCCTGAAGTGATAACAAAAAACATTAGATTATGGGATTTCCTTCAGAAAATGTAAGGAGAGTGGATTAAGGTCTGCATAGGCCAGTACTGGGCTTGGTTGGTGGTTGCTGAGGCTGGCCATAGATACATGGACATTTATAATTACTCTTCTCCTTTTGTGTATGTCAGATATGCTCTGTAATAAAATTTTGTTTCTTTTAAAGTTATTGGGAGATGAAAAGAAAGTGAGAAGTGAGGCAGTGATGAAAATAAATATATATAACTCTTGGAGGAATTTTGCCATAAAAGCAGACACATGGGGTACAGGGAAAGTATCTTAAGATGTGATGAGGTATTAGAACATGTATATAGGCTGAAGGGAATGATTTCAAAGAGGGAAAATAGATGGAGTAGAGAAAGAGGGAATTCTGTAAGCAATGACTTTCAGTAAATGAGTAAGAGTCAATTTATGAAGGAAAACTAATGCATATGATAAGAATATGGACACAGGTTGGTTGGATAACGTAGTGAAGGAGAGAATAACATTGTTCTTTAAATTGCTTATTTCTTGATGAAATTAGCAGTAAAATTATCAGCAGAATGTGAAGGTTATTTGGAATTCAGTATGGATTATTTAATATTGAGTTGGCCAAAAAGTTCATTTGGGTTTTTCCATAACACCTTATGGAAAAACCGGAATGAACCTTTAGGCCAACCCCATATTTGATCAGTTTTGATTTTCAGAAGAAGAGTTCTGTGGTTATAGGGTTTTAACATTTACAGATCTCTGGTTGCATTTACCCTGGTGTTAATGTGCCTAAAACTGCCTCTGTCATAAATATTCTGTATCCGTATCATCTTGTATCAGCAAAGGTAATTGAAGACATCATATCTCAGGAAACTAATTAACTCTATGAACAGGTAATTTACTTCATATTTTCTTTTTAATTAAAGCTAGTATCCTGCAAATGGAAATATTTCTCCTTTTACATTGCTTTAAGATGGGTTAATATTTTGCTTTCACATTAGCATTATTTACTAGAATAAAGTCCTTTGATTCAGTAGAATACAAACTAATACTTGGTTTATTAATTTTGAGTAGTTAAATATTTTATATATGTCTTTTGATGTTTAGTTTGGCCTTTTGTTTTAGAGTTGGTCCAGTCAGTTTTTTCTTGATTAAATCATACATATAATGCATAGGCTATTATTTCCAGTTTCAGTTTATTTAAAGTAGAACAAGATTCTAAAGATACTTGTAAAGCAAACTGTGTGCAGAATCTTTCATGACTTTTTACATTTCCCATCAATCTTTACTATTTTCTCACTCATCCCTATTTTGAGAACAATGCAATGTGCATCCCTAGCCAGAACTTGCAAAGCACTGAACCTAATTTTCATAGATAGAAATGGTTGTCTTTCAGTTTCTTGAAGGGGAAGGAACTGGCATAAACAAATTTGGGAGCAATTATGGCTGACTTTTTACAGAAATCTTAAGATTACACTTCAGTTGTTTATACAGTTGACCCTTGAACAACATGGGTTTAAACTGCGTGGGTCCATTTATACATGGGTTTAAAAAAATAAATGTGTATTACAGTACTGCATGACCTGGGGTTGGTTGAATCTGTGGATGCAGAACTGCGGATATGGAGGTCCAACTGTAAAGTTACACACAGATTTTCAGTGGGGGGGGGAGGGGGTGGTATTGTCCCCTCTAACCCCTATGTTCAAGGGTCAACTGTAGTATAGTCTCCTAGATGAGAATGTTCAGCGTGGCAAGGCCTTAATCTGACACGTCATTTAGGTGGGGAAGCCATATAAGCGTCTCTATATCCACACTGGGAATGTTTTGTATGTTCTTTAAATTAAAACGTTCAAATTCTATAGGATAAGTTTTATAACTTCTACTTTGTTTTTTATGAGTGAATATGGACATTTTGCCCTAAGTTTGTTTATACTTTTATTTTGTGCATTTTCTACTCACTTCCTTTATTCCATTACTTTTTCCATTGTTTAATGTTTCTTATACAGTTTGTATGGGCTTTTCTGCTGTATACACTTTCTCATTTTTCTTACAAATGTTTGGGCCTTCACTTTTGATTTTGACTGTGACTTTCCTTTAGATCACTGGTTTTTAATTTTTAATTTGCAAGTAAATCCTTTGAAATCACCATCTTAATAACAACTGTCATACTTTTGTACCTGCCTGCTTATTTACTACTGTTATGACTAGCTAATTACTGTTCATTTTATATATAATTTATATCTTATTTGTCTTAATGAGACCTTAAATTGTTTTTTTCCCCCAAATTTCTACAAAATTGTCATAGTTTTATATTGCTTTCTTGAATGGGGAGATAGAGACAGACAGACAGGAGGAGAGAGAGGGAGGGGGAGAAAGAGAAAGAGAGGAGTAAAGGAAGGAGAACAGGAGAGAGGGAAGGGAGGGGGAAGCATGGAGAAAGACACTCAGATTTCATAGGAGTATTTTCTGTGCCATTCATTTTTTTGTCTCTGCTTACAAATTATCTACACTATTTAAATCATTGTTACCTTTTAAAGTCTTTTTAGTATATCCTTTTTAAAGTAAACTTATTGAAATATGAATAGATAAAAAAATACAGAATTATAATATGTGGCTCACTGAATTTTCACAAAGTAATTACACATTGATTCAGAAATAGAGCTTTACTAGTATATCAGAAGCTCCCTCCTAACTTTCTCCAGTCATTCCGCCCTACCAAAGTTAACTACTAACCTGACTTCTAACAAGTACATAGATTAGTTTTACTGTTTTCAAGCTTTATAAAAATGGAATAGTATAAATTCTTTTATGCCTGGCTTTGTTTACTCACCATTATGTTTGTGAGAATGATCCATGTTGTTGTGTGTACTTGTAGATTTTTCATTCTCATTGCTGTTACAGTTTGTCTCGTTGCTCTTATTGCATTGCATCCACATATCTTAATTTTCTTTGTCATTCTTCTGTTGATGAACACTTAGATTCTTTCCAGTTTGGGTATATTAAAAATAATGTTGCTGTATTGTAGATTTTTTTAAATACCTTTTTCTTTTTGAAAAATATTGAAATCTTATTTCAAAAATTTTGAGAGGGCTTCCCTGGTGGCGCAGTGGTTGAGAGTCCGCCTGCCGATGCAGGGGACACGGGTTCGTGCCCCGGTCTGGGAAGATCCCACATGCGGCGGAGCGGCTGGGCCCGTGAACCATGGCCGCTAAGCCTGCGCATCCGGAGCCTGTGCTCCGCAACGGGAGAGGCCACAACAGTGAGAGGCCCGCGTACTGCAAAAAAATAAATATAAAAAATAAAAAAAAGAAAAAAAAATTTTTGAGAAAATATACATTTGAGAAAAATACGTCTCTGCTCAGAATTTCATTAGCATGTTACTCTTTTATGAACCTGTTGCTGTGACTGAAAAATCACTAATATATTTTTAGGCAGTACCTAAATGGCATTGGCTATGAAGACTTCAGGGAGAATATAGGAAAGGGTATGAAGGAACAAAACAGGTTGAGTATTTGTAACATAGTATGTGTAGTTAATAAACTCAAATGAAGATAAATAAGTAGAACCTTTTATTACCTTGATCGTGAAAGTGAGATTCACTCACTATGCAACGTAGAAAATGAACTGAAGTGGAGATATCTGCAAGTGAAAGTGGAGAGGCCATTGGAAGGATGATCAGGTGTAAAGAAATTTTTCCATGTATGTATTTGATTGAGATAGCTTAGATGTGCTTTTGTTTCCCATCTCTCTAGGAAGTGATAAAAAAGAAGGTGTAAGATTAGAGGCAAGGCAAAATATACATTTTTACTATTAACTAATTATGGAAATTTAATAATTAATAGTTACTGTGTGCTATGGGTTTGTTATTCAGTGATAAGTGAAAGATTGTTTCTGCCCTTGGGGTAAGAAAATAGAATAAAAACTGGGAAAGTTAATGAATATACCACAGCAGAATTGAAAAAAGTGTTAAGAAGCAAGGAACAAGTTATTGGGATAGAAAATAAAGGATATAAATTAGATGAAGTCAGCACAGGTAGTTTTTCTGACTTTTATCATGATACCTAAAGGGTGAAAGGAACCCAACCATGTGGAGAGCCTGCCAGCATTCCTGGGAGATTTAACAGCCAGTAAGAAGCTCTAAGAAATGGAAAGATTGTAACATATTTTAGCAACTGAAAGGAGGTACGTGTGATAGATGTAGGGTGCAAAGGGGGCAGTAGCTTGAGATGACATCTTTTGGTAAACAAAGGCCATGTTATTCATAATAAACTACTGTATTCTTATTAAAAAGAGAAATCATTAAAAAGTTTAGGTAGAGATCTCAGACTTTGATTTGCTTCTGAGTTATCTGGTCTTAACTCATTTTCTTTATTCCTCTTAGCTTTTTTCAAGCTACATGATTTTTAAAGAGTTTTTAAGCACATTTTCTTCAACTGGACTTTCTTTCCTATTATAAAATTTTTATTTGCTTATTTGTGTACTTTTTCTAGAATAAGAAAATAGCATATGTTATCTTATTTTCTTTCAGATTTGGAATCCAGATATGGCACTAAAAAGTTATTTGAAGTAAAGGATGTTTGTGAAATGAATGTATCTCAGTGGGAGATAATGGAAAGAATTAGAAGTTGTGGCCTTGAAGATTCCTTTTTCAGGAAAGATTGTGAATATAAAAAGTTTGAGGGACAAGAGGGTCCTCAGGAGGCATATTTCAGGCAAGTGAAAAAAACCACCTCTGAAAAAATGCCCAAGAACAAAAAACGCACATCTCTTACTCTGTATCAGAGAATTCACAATAGAGAGAAACCCTATGAATGTGGGGATTGTGGGAAGGCTTTTAGAGTACGCCAGCAACTCACTTTCCATCAGAGAATTCATACTGGTGAGAAACCCTATGAATGTAAAGAATGTGGAAAAGCCTTTAGACAGTGTGCCCACCTTAGTCGACATCAGAGAATTCATGCTTCTGACAAACTCCTTGAATGTAAAAGATGTGGAAAAATCTTTACATGTGGTGCAGATCTTCGTGTACATCAGAGAATTCATGTTGGTGAGAAGCCCTATGACTGTAAGGAATGTGGGAAGGCCTTTAGAGTGCGAGGACAACTTAATCTCCATCAAAGGATTCATACTGGTGAGAAACCCTATGAATGTAAGGAATGTGGGAAGACCTTTAGACAATATGCACACCTTACTCGACATCAAAGACTTAATATTGCTGAGAAATGCTATGAATGTAGGGAATGTGGGCAGGCTTTTCTGTGTAGTACAGGCCTTAGAGTACATCACAAACTTCATACTGGTGAGAAACCCTATGACTGTAAGGAGTGTGGGAAGGCCTTTAGAGTGCGGCAACAACTTACTCTCCATCAGAGAATTCATACTGGCGAGAAACCCTATGATTGTAAGGAATGTGGGAAGACCTTTAGTCGTGCCTATCATCTAACTCTCCATCAGAGAATTCATACTGGTGAGAAACCTTATGAATGTAAGGAATGTCAGAAGTTCTTTCGTCGTTACTCAGAACTTATTTCACATCAGGGTATTCATATTGGAGAGAAACCCTATGATTGTAAGGAATGTGGGAAGGCCTTCAGACTGTTCTCACAACTTACTCAACATCAGAGTATTCATTTTGGTGAGAAACCTTATAAATGTAAGGAATGTGAGAAGACTTTTAGACTGCTCTCCCAACTTACTCAACATCAAAGTATTCATACTGGTGAGAAACCCTATGACTGTAAGGAATGTGGAAAGGCCTTTAGACTACATTCATCACTTATTCAACATCAGAGAATTCATTCTGGTGAGAAACCATACAAATGTAAGGAATGTAAGAAGGCATTTAGACAACATTCACATCTTACTTACCATCAGCGAGTTCATAAGGTCACTAAATAATTATTAGAAAGCCATCCACTGTGAATTTTGTGTTAAGGGGCAGTAGAAAATAAATTCTGGAGGAAAAGTGTTTGAATGTAGGAATCCCTTTTGCTTCATGCTCAAAATTAAAATAAGAGGTTTTAAAAGAATAGGTTAATTTAATGAATACATAGAAATATTTCATCACCATTCAAACCATGTTAAACTTTAGGAAGTTCTTTCTAGAAAGAAACTCTCTTAAAGGAGTGAATGTGGAAAAGCTTTTGATCTTACCTGTTATCACCTCTATTCTTTCATCTGTACAGTATACCTGTGGAAGTTGCCGGCACCAACTCATTCTGGAAACTGATAAATAAAAGGAAGGAAATGTGATTTAGCCTGCATTTCCTGTATAAACTATATTTCAAGGCAACTAGAAGTTGATGAGGTAAAGTTCTTTATTAGAGATTTTTATAGGACATAATGAAATAATGGATCTAGGTACAATTCTCAGTAGAGGTGTTAAGACCATTAGGTGAATGGTTGATGTCAAGTTCATAGTGAATAGATCAGGTTGACAACATCTGAACCCACTGATCAATTTTAATCTCATCAAAAATAGGACAAAACATTTTGTGCCTCCTGATATGATACAATAAGACATACCATTGACAAAAAATATTGAACCTGAATCTAATTAAAGCATCAAGATCTAACTCCCAGTTTAGAGAAAATTCAGGAAACAAGAACAAATTACATGATACAACAAGAAGCAGACAAATCTAAAATGTGGGTAATTCTACAAGAGTAATGACAGCTTCTCAACCAATAAAATGGATTGAAAAAAGGGAGGTGGAACTCTTAGATATTAAAAGTCTTAAGAGATGTAATAATCAAATGCAATGAATGAGTGGTTCTCATTTAGATCACAAGTTGAACAAGTGTAAAAAAGACACTTTTATGATAGTTGGGGAAATGGGACTATTGACAGTATTAGATAATATTAAGAATTATGTTCTTGTTAGATGTGCAGATAGCATTGTGCTTATGTAAAAGTGTCTTAGAGATAAATTAGCAAGTTTATACACATAAAATGATATGTCTAGAATTACCTTTAAAATGCTCATGCAAAAGAAAATTGAAGATGGATAACTTGTTTGTCAAAATCATGGTAAGATGAGTCAGGTGCGTGGTTTTTGCTTATTTTGTTTTTGCTCTTTTCTCTATTTTCATGTATTTTAAATTTTCCATAATTTTTTTTTAAAGATAAAGTATCTGTGAAATTATAACCCACTTAAAGTGAATGATGTTTGTAAATGGCTACATATCAGAACTTACGGATGTTGCTAAAGTTTTACACACAGGGATATTAAATGTGCTATAATGTATTTGGGAAATTAAGATTGAGGATCCAGATTTTATCTAGTTCACCTAATGCTACATCTGTTGTAGTGCCTGTCCCATAGTACTTTGTATATTTCAAGAGTGAGTAAAAAGAGCAATTACAGCTACTTGTGGAAATTAATGGAATAGAACTGTATTATCTGATAAGGTAGCTGCTAGCAACATGTTGAGCACTTAAAATTGAGCTATTGAGAGCCTGAATTGTGGTTAGTACAAATTAAGATGGTGTTAAGTGTAAAAACACACAAGTTTTGAATACTTCTAAAAATCTAACAGGTCAGTTTCTCACAGCATTTCTCTGCTGTTGTTGGGAAGCTGTGATATTCAGTGGATTGCATTACTGCATAATACAGAACCCAATTTAAGTATGTCTCTGCTCCCAAGTAGCAGCATGTTTACACACTGAGGTCTCTTTGGTTCTACCCTGAGTCATGCTGAATTTTTTTTCTTCTCTTCATAAAACGTTGCCTGTGTTTACAGCTGAGTAGTTTTCTCAGACTGTTTATAGTCTCAGACTGTTTATAGATGTTTCGGAATCCAAAGGCCCTTTTTTACTTTATACTGTTTCCCACTAAGTTCAAGCTTGCAGTGCTTCAAGTAGTACAATTCTCTTTAAGACTGTGTTTTCTATGATTTTTATTAGGGTTCATTCAATTAGACAGAAGATCAACAGGCTCTTCTCTGTATTGGGTTCCCTGTGAGGCTACTGTGGAAAAACGACTTTGAAATTCTTAGAAGCCACGCTGTTTCACAGAAAGGATGAAAGTTGGCTTTATCTTTACCCTGGGGTGACATTTTCAGGACAGCACCACATATTTGAGTTTTTCTCCCCTCTCAGGCCCATTATAACTTTGAGAACCCTTTGCTACCTGTAAACAGTGTCATGCACCCTCTATTTCCTTGAAATTCTACTTGAAATATGCACCAATTGATATAATGAATAGAATGATTTTTTTTTTTACTCTGTTAATATGATGGATTTTCAAATATTAAGCCTTATATCACTGGAGTAAACTCCATTTGTCTGTATTGTATACTTTAAATATATATATATATATTGCTGTACTTGCTGTGATTGCTATGATTTACTAATGTTTTGAGGATTTTTGCATCTATATTCATGAAGGATACTGGTCTATAGTTTTGTTCTATTTTTGTCTCATTTGGAATCAGGTTGATGGTGTTCTCATAATGTGAGTTAGGAAATGTTGCCTCCTTTTAATTTCTGGAAGAGGTAGTGTAGAATTGATGTTAATTATTCTTTGAATGGTAGAATATTCCAGTGAAACCATTTGGGCCTTGCAATGGACTGAATGTGTCTCCTTAAAATGTGATGACATCCTAACCCCCATTGTGATGGTATTAGGAGGTGGGGCCTCTAAAGAGATAATTAGGTCATGAGGGTGGAGCCCTTCTGAATGAGATTAGTACCCTTATAAAAGTGACCCCAGAGAGTTCTCTCACCCTCTCCTGCCATGTGAGGAGGATACAAGAAGATGACAGTTTTCAATCTGGAAGATGTTTCTCACCAAAACTAACTGCTAGCACCCTAATGTCAGACTTCCAGCCTCCAAACCTGTGAGAAATAAATTTGTTTACAAGCTACCCAGTCTGTGGTACCATGTTATAGCAGCCCAAGCTGAATAAGACAAGTTTGTACTAGAAGTGGGTACTAATGTAAAAGACATGGAAGTGGCTTTGGAACTGAATAGTGAGTGGATAAAGGCTGAAAAGAGTTTTGACGTGCATGCAAAAAATAACGGATGTTAAGGGTGATTCTGGTGAAATCTCAGAAAAGAGGAGAGCTGAAGAGAAAACCTCAGTCTTAGGAAATAATCATGAACAAAATGTTAGTAGAAATATGGACAGTAAAGACCATTCTGCCGCAGTCTTAGATGGAAATGAGGAACTTAATATTGGAAACTGGAGGAAAGGTCATTCTTTTTATAGTGGCAAAGAACAGGGCTAAATTGTGTTTGTGTTCTAGTATTTTGTGGAAAGTAGATCTTCTGAGCAATGAAATTTAATGTGTGGCTTTGCTCCTCCTGGCTGATTATAATGAACTGCAAGAAGAGAGAAATGACTTAAAGATGGAGTTTTTGAAGCAGAATGTAAAGATTTGGAAAATTCTTAGCTGAGTAAATAGTGTTAAAGTGAGGGCATACATTGGGAAAGAATAGCATCCTATAAGTTGGTTGGGAGACATGTGGGATGAAGCTGGGGACATTGAGCTCCTGAGTTTAGAGTCTGCTTTACTAATGGAAGTGACATCCCCACCCACAGTGGCAATGGCATTTCCATCTCCATTTGAGGGGATTAACCCCACATTGCCTGAAGAAACCATGACCTCCCCTGAGGCAGTGGCCATGCAAGATGATGCTGATGGGCCTATCACTAGACTCAAATCCCAGCAGACTCCTAAAGGTGAAGTACAAAGTGTGACCCAGGACGAGGTGTGCTACACTCCAAAAGAATTACTTGAGTTTTCTAATTTTTACAGGCAAATCTAGGGAACAAGTATGGGAATGGATACTAAGGATGTGGAATAATGGGGGAAGGAACATAATTGGAAATCTGGCGACAGTGAAATCTGGGAAAGAGATGTGTGGATAGACCTCTCTGGGCAAAACATTTGAAGGTATTTGTGTCCTGTATAAATACCTACTAAAGGGTGACCTCAGCAGAGAGGACTTTAATAATCAAGTGGATAGGATGGCCTGTTCTGTGGATAACAGTTTCTTTTCCCAGCTACCCCCATTATCACCCAGTGGGCTTAGGAACATAGTGGTGGCAGAGATGGACATTATGCATGGGCTCAGAAACATGGACTTCCACCCACCAGGGCCCACCTGACTGGCCACTGCTGGGTGCTCATTCTGCCAGCAGAGACAAGCACTGACTCCCTAATATAGCAGCATTCCCTGAGAGGTGTTCAGCCAGCTACCTGGTGGCAGGTTGAATACATTGTATCACTTACATTGTGGAAGGGGCAGCGCTTTGTCCTTATTAGAATAGAGACTTACTCTGGATACAGATTTGCCATCCCTGCATGCAGTGCTTCTGCCAAAACTGCCATCCATGGACATATACATACAGCGCCTTATCCACTGTCATGGTATTCCACACAGCATCGCCTCTGATCAAGGAACTCCTTTCACAGTAAAATAACTGCAGCAGTGGGTCCATGCTCATGCAATTCACTGGTCTTAACATGTTCTCCACCATCCTGAAGCAGCTGGCTTGATAGAATGGTGGCATGGCCTTTTGAAGACTCAGTTATAGATCCAGCTGGTGGCAGTACCTTGCAGGCTGAGTCTGAGTTCTCCAGAAGGCTGTATATGCTCTGAATCAGAATCCAATATGTGATAGTTTCTCTAGTAGCCAGGATTCATGGATACAGGAGTCGAGGAATAGTGTGAGATAACAAAATTCAGTTGACCTTTGAACAGCCCAGGGTTTAGGGGTGCCGATACCACGTGCCGTCAGAAATCTGCATACTGCTTTATAGTCGGCCCTCTGTGTTTCTGCATCCGTGGATTCAACCAACCTTGGATTGTGTAGTACCGTGGTATTTATTGAAAAAAATCCATGTATAAGTGGACCCTCACAGTTCAAACCCATTCAAGGGTCAACTG